CCTTAGGTGTATGTGGCTGGCGCCTTAGCCACTTGAGCCACAGGTGCCGAGCCTATTGATATCTTTCTATGGCAATTCTGTGACTATCAATTTTGGATCATAATAGATTTGATTTTTAGAAAATAATTTTTTATATTTTACCATAATTAATGCCAGCATTTTAATGGATATAAATATTATTAATCATCTTTTATCTTTCTTTGAAAGTAAAGAGCACATAACATATTTACTTTTTCTTCTCTTTGAAGAGGCTAATAGTCAGCTATGTGTACAGGAGTCTAATGACCTTTGGAGGTTACCAAGATGATTTTATGATAGTCATTAGCAATACACACTCAAAGGACAAACCAACAGAGAAATTACTTTTTGCCATGGCAAAACCCAAGGTGAGTAGAAGCCTTTCTGTCAATTTTATGCTAGCTTTTAAACTTTTATACTAACATATTGAGCAAAAACTACATTCCATATGGGACAGACACTACTTAAAATCAAACAACCATGGGTCCAAATTCTGACTTCCCTCATCTTTCCACGCTTGGTTTCTTTGTCTAAAATGTGGTACAATAATATCTACTTCTTTGGGCTTAAGACTTAAAGGAAATTTGTAAATTACTTAGACCAGTGTCTGGTATGCAGAAGGTTCAAAATAAATGTTTGTGGTATAAGTTTTTATTATCAGGTACTTTATGCACATCTTATTCACTTGAAGTTATTTGCTTTATGGACTCATTCGAGGAAAAGGACAGGATTTTATAATTGAAACATACTTGTTCCTTCACTATTTTTAACAAACTCTGTGGCTTTAACATCTCTAAACAGAAGCAATAAATGAGATGTAATTCTAATTTTAAGGAGAATGAGAAACTGATTTTTCTAAAATGTTAACTATCTTAAAATTATCAACTAAAAGAGACTACTTCAGAATATGAAGCTTTTTTAAAAGATGGAAGATTGGAAGATATCTTTCTTAATTAATTTTATACTTAAGTGAAGGCAGCTAGCCATTAAGTGCAGAAGATCAGGGTCCTCTCAGTACTTTAAATAGTTATGACATTGAGTTTCTTAATTCATACATTCACAAATGTAACTTTAAGATAATTAACAGAGTTGCATTACTGTCACATTTCCTAAAATTACCACTGACTTTGATTGTTTTTGAGATTCACTCTTTCTTCTGGTTTAAGTAACAAAAAAAATGTGTCAGTCCCTTGATGATGTTGGATATGTAAGTACTTACTTGATCTAGATTCAGAATTGAATTCTGGTAGCCTGGGCACTTGCAAATGAAGGTTACTCATGGCCAATCCTCTGCTCTCTTTCAGAAATGATGACAACTCCTCAAGGTTATAATAATTCTGTTTTCTTGTTTTAGATTCTTGAGATCACTCTTTTGATCGCCAGTTACATAAACAACTTCCATCAGCAAAAGGCAGCATTTCACCACCTGTCTGCTCCAGCACTGCTTTCAGCCCGGCCTCAGGGAGCCCAAACCAGGGCAATGGGAAGCCAGCCCCTTCTGTCAAACAGCAGACCAACCAAAGGCCCCACCCTGCTCTGAAAGCCTGAACATTCACTCCTTGTCCTCTGCTCGAGAGCCGCATCAGCTCCCAGCAAGTTCATTTATACCTGGCCGCATGGCATCCATACACCAGTGTTCCCAATGCTGACAGTGATGGGAGTTACTCTATTTTATCTGATTCTTAAATCTTCAAATGAATATTAACAACAAAACATAAATGGCTCAGCGCCTGTGGCTCAAGTGGCTAAGGCGCCTAAGGTGGCAGGTTCAAATCCAGCCTGGGCCCACCAAACAACAATGATGGCTGCAACTGAAAAAAAATAGCCAGGCATTGTGGCAGGTGCCTGTGGTCCCAGCAACTTGGGAGGCGGAGGCAGGAGACTCACTTGAGCCCAGGAGTTGGAAGTTGCTGTGAGCTATGCCACGGCACTCTACCCAGGGGGACAGCTTGAGGCTCTGTCTCAAAAAAAAACAAAAACAAATTATAAACACAAAATTTGCCAACACACTGATTTTTCTCTTAGAACAAATGGGTTAGGATTCATCAGTTTTTCCAGCACCCTCCCCACTTGTCATCAGACACATCATTCAATATGGCTTTTTCCTTTCCTTTTCTCTTTTTCTTTTTAATATTCTGGTGATCTTTTGAAAGGGAGATTCCATATTCTCATTTGGTAAAACAGTTGACTATTTGGAAATGCTTACTGCCAAAAAAGTACTGTAATTAAATGTGCTTTTAATCAATGATAATGGTGTTTAGAGAGGAATTGAGTACACAGTGTAAGAAATAGCTGCAGAATTGTGTGAAGGGTTAATTTTTAGAGCAAGTGCAATAAATCTTCTGGCTTTATGAATCATTTAGTGAGAAAGCATGAATTAGGTAACCTAACTGTCACCTTTTCAGATCATTGGTCTGTACAGTTTAAAATGAGCCAGTGATTCTTGACATTCTTTGGCTGGCAACATAGCTCAAGTTCACTGCATTTGGTGCTGGGTCATTTTGACCTTGCTGTGTTAAATAATAATAACTTTGAAAAACAAAGACAATCCTTACTCTCATACAGTCCTTTCTTTCTTTCTTTCTTTCTTTTTTTTTTTTTTGAGACAGAGCCTCAAGCTGTCGCCCTGGGTAGAGTACTATGGCATCACAGCTCACAGCAACCTCCAACTCCTGGGCTTGAGCGATTCTCTTGCCTCAGCCTCCCTAGTAGCTGGGACTATAGGCACCTGCCACAAGGCCTGGCTATTTTTTGGTTGTAGTTGTCATTGTTGTTTGGCAGGCCCAGGCTGGATTCGAACCCACCAGCTCTGGTGTATATAGCTGGTGCCTTAGCCACTTGAGCTACAGGCACCCAGCCCATACAGTCCTTTCTAATTTTAGTTGGAAAATGAATTTCTAAAAATAGTTTTTAAAAGAAAAGAGAAATAATTCCTCTGTCAAAGGAGGTAAAATTTTAGTTGATATTCTTGAAATATGTTACTTTACTAGGTTATGTAAGTGGTCAGTGCCTTCCAGTTTATGTGTCAAAACAATGTAATTAGTATTCATGGCAAAAATGAAACTGTGATAAGACATGAAAATTATATTATAAAAATGTTCAATTGTAATAGTAATCATGAACATAATTTTATTTATGTATAGAATATTTGTATTTATTTTTTGATCTCTATTTATCGCTTTGTCATATTTTTTTTAACCAATTTGAGAAGAATCTTAGCTGCTGAGTTGATTTGTTGGCAGAGCCTTCCTGTGTTCTTTGCTGCCTTCTCCCCATGGCAATGACCTGTTCTCACATCAAGCCTTTGAATGTTTCATCCCAGATTAGCATCCATAGAAAGGGCAGATCCAAGTAATACGTTGCCCAAGTAATACTGTGCCTTACTGATAATGACAAAAAGGAGATTTAAAACCCCCATCAAACTAGATTGCTATTGATTATTTCCTCTATATCTTCTGAGCCACAACTACTCACGGAGTAAGTAAATTAGTTTTTGAAAATAAACTGGTTTATAGGTTGGGATGCTTCTCAGGAGGCTTTTGCCTGCAACACAATTAAGTTTCTAGGTTCCCAGAAAGCTATGTCATAATTAGTTGGTGAGCCAGAGGCTTGGCAGAAATGTTACTTATGCGTAAGGGCTTTATTCTCAGGCAACAGTTTATTCACCATCTCATAAGCCTCTCCCCCAGTCGTCTAATTTAAACAGGTGATGAAAGTTTAGCTTAAACTGTAGTACCTTAGACTTGGCATTTATTTTTGATAGAGCAGAGATAAAATATTTTGATGGAAAGAAATCAATTTTCTGTAACTGATGAGTGAAATTTTTATTTTCTGGGAAATTATATAGCCATTTAAAAAATTCAAGGTGTGTTATTATGATTGGTTACAAGAGAATAATGGTACACGTTTAATTGTAATATTTGTCTCCTATCATTTTCTTCCCTTTCAATCATAATAAATGATTTACAAAACCCATTTCGAGCGTTATCTTTTGAATAATCTTCAAGAAATACCTAATGTTTTCATTGTCAAAGCTGAGTTGTAGTACCAGTGAAAATGGTAGTTATTACCGCCTCTGGCATTCGTGCTTTGTCTTCAGTGTTGCTTTGTTTTATGCGAATAAAGGGAAGGTGTTTTGGCAAACTGTAACTTTAATACAGATGTATGCATAATGACACATAATATGAAAACAGACATTTTAGTTCTCTTAAGATTTCATTCATATAGCTGAGCTGAATGGACGGTGTTCCCAGAAGGCATTTAAAATTTCCTGGAGTATGTGTGTGTGCCCTTTAAACCAAATATTTCCATAGCTTTGAAATAAATTTAACTCTCAAGGGAAGTTAGTCCCAACTTATAAAGAATCTTTATTTCAAAAATGTATTTATGTATGAATAACAGTATTTCTCTCTAAGAAGCCTGCAAGTGTTTCTGGGGTGCCAAGAACACATTTCCTCCATCCACCCACTCCCTCGGCTGCCATGGAATCTGGTGATGCCGGATTTGACACTGGTGAGCTGCGGGCTTATTTTTGTGGAAAGAAGGCTCCAGTACTGTGGGGACTGAGGAAGGAAAGTGAGGAACAGGAAGAGATGGATGGGGCAGCTTCTCTGCTCCCTACCTGGTTGGTGTAGGAATCACATCTCTTCTCCCATTTCCCCCCATTCTCTTTTCCCTAAAAGAAGAAAGGAATTTTACTCTAACAAGAGGAACTTTTTTTTCTTTAAATTCTGAATTAAGTTTACACACAGATAATTTAGGATGAAGTTAAGATTTATCCATATTTGAGTGGGAACAATACACAGCTTTTCTTGAGTATTCAAGTGGGAAAGGTAGTTCTACCCTGAAGAGTTGATAGGTCCAGGAAGGAGGCAGGGGTGAGGGGAGAAGGTAAGTGCCTACTCCAGACCATAATTTTAATTGTTGAATTTAATTTTACCAAAATTATACATGGTCACGGTGACTCTGGAGGCACAGTCATAGACATAAATCTAAAAATCTTCAATGTATGCTTTAAAAGGATTTTGCTGTCAAGTAATAGGCAAGAAACAAAAACTTCACTAGAGAAACACCTATTAGCAAATAGCTCTAAAATAAGACACAAATGTTCACGACAGCACTTAAATACAGAGTACCCCTCCTTCCAGGACTTTGCTAACTTAATCTAATAAACCCTATGTGTGTGTGTGCGCGCGCATGTTGGGGGGGCATATTTGTTTTGAAGGGGCGGGTAGGTTATATTGCAGTGGCAGTGGCAGAAGAAGGCTAATTACCTCTCTGACGATGCGGCTGTAATGAATTCCTAGGTGTCCCTAGGAACTGAATGTTGGGTAATAGTAGAGGAGATTGTTTAGAAGTTAACTTGTACTTCTGGAAAATACCATCAAACTCCAGTAAAAATTGGCTTTCATAAAAGAAAAGCTTACAGAAAATGTGAGTCTTAGAAAACTTAAGGACCACATTATTAGCTTTTAGATTATGCACAGGTTATAAGATTTTCCCTTCAGGTACGAAGTATCATCAACAATAATGTCATGCCCTCACATTCTGCTGAGACATTTTTCCATGAAGTTACTACCTTCAGCCTCCTTAGGGAGGAGCAAAAAGAGTTGCAGCCCAGGCCCACCAAACAACAATGATGGCTGCAAGGATGCCAAGTCCAGTGGACCCCAGATGGTCCAACTGTCTTCTGGATGATATCTCAAACTCACCACATCCTCTAAACCTGGTCTTCCTACTCTGTTCCCCCAACAATCAATTAATAGGATCATCAACTCATCTACCAAAGGAGAGAAACAATGGCTTTTACTCCTCTCCCAAGGCCTCACTCACTACTGCCTAGTAACCAGATTAGATAGAACTCTTTTTGCTGCAAATTCCAAAATTCAACTTGAACTTAGACAAAAATGAGGAAATGTATTACAAAGATACCAGGATGTCTCATGTAATCCAAGAGTGAGCTAAACAACCAAGCCAGAAGAAAGGACACAGCCTTGATTCTTGGGGACAACCAGAAACATAAGAAATGTGCCAGCACTTTCTCTTCATATTAATGTGTGTCATGCTTCATGTTCTCTAATTGCCAAATAGCTTCTTCAGTTAGAAAATGCTGTAATTTCCTCCAGAGGAGGAGTGACTTAACTTTTCCCAATTCTAGTTTGAAATATCCCAGGAAAGGGCTGCAATGAACCAATTCATGGCAGGTGTTTACTCTGAACCACTTCCAACTCAACATCAGGAGAATATTTAAGGAAGTTATGAAAAAAATACATAGAATAGAATATTGGGCAGACATTAGTGTTACGTTTATGATACATTTAAAAAATTATATGAAGAAATGTTAAAATCAGGATTTAGTTAACTTTACAATTAACTTCAACTTTGAGAAACACAATGAAACATGTCAAAATGCTTAGGGGTTATTACTTCTGGGTATGCCTGTTTTACCTTTGTCATGTTTTCTTCAGGCCATTTCTTCTACAATAAGCTTCCATAACTTTGAAAACAAGGGGGGGAAATGTAAAAACTCTGACTGTCACTTTCCCAGCTATAGTTAATAGCCTCCACATGATCTTCTAGACGCCAAAATATTGTTCACACAGCTGCAAAAAATTATCTTGCTGAAACTCAGGTCTGGTCATGGAACACTCCTATTTTAAAATTTTCTTTGGTTTCTCATAAGCAACACAGTGAAATCCAGACTGCAGGATCATTCACAGCAACCCATATACCTGCCCTCTCAGCTTATCTCCATCAGGCACTCACGTGCTCCTGCTGGAAACGATTCACTTCCCTAGCTGTCTCCTTTACCCTTCTGCACTGTTGCCCATTCCATCGAGAAAGGAGCATAAAATTATCTCCTCCTCCATCAACAGCTTTGAAATTCTTGGGGTAATCCACATCTTTGTATATTCTTACCTTAAGAACAATTTTCGGGCTTGGCGCCTGTGGCTCAAGTGGCTAAGGCGCCAGCCACATACACCTAAGGTGGCGGGTTCGAATCCCCAGCCCGGGCCGCCAAACAACAATGATGGCTGCAACCGAAAAAAAAATAGCCAGGCGTTGTGGCGGGCGCCTGTGGTTCCAGCTACTTGGGAGGCTGAGGCAGGAGACTCGCTTGAGCCCAGGAGTTGGAGGTTGCTGTGAGCTGTGATGCTACGGCACTCTATCCAGGGGGACAGCTTGAGGCTCTGTCTGAAAAAAAAAAAGAAATAAGGAAGGACACCAATGGTGGCTATCAAATCCACCTCCTCGGCCTCCCAGAGTGCTAGGATTACAAGCATGAGCCACGGCGCCCGGCCAGTAAAGCATATTTAAATAAAAGAACACTTCCAGCTCAGAAACAATTGCTTTAAGGCCCCAAGTTCGTAATCCCTTGTCCTTCATTGTCTGACATCTTAGGGGTTGAAGCAGAGAGCTTGTATGCAAAAGGGAACGCTGAGAACTACATTTCCCATCATGCCTCTCTTTGGGACGCACTCGCCCCGGCGACGTCGTTCCCATGGCAACGCAAGGGCCCGCGTTCCGGCTCTGCTCCGAATTCGCGGAGGACCTGGCTCTAACTAAGCTGGGCACTAACGCCGAGCCCACGACGTTTGGGGCCTAGCCACTATGCCCAGGTATATCCGCAACTACGTCTGAGCCGATCCCCCCAACCACGCTCCCTTTGAGAGCTCCCCTTTCTCACGTCAGACTAGAAGGGGCAGAAGTAGGAGAGGCGGCTGAAGGCATATTCTGGGGAAGGGGACCGCGCCCGACCTGCGGGTGGGCGAAGATCGTGGGTCTGGATGGACTGGGACTCACAGGAACTCCCCTTGAGCAAAAGGATTCTGCCGCAAGCAGGTAGAAAGTAAGAGACTCCACCTTCACTGATACTATAGAAGTTTCTTGCGGGCCCGGGAGGGAGACTTCGGCGGTGAAGTGGAGCACACAGCTCCTGCCCGGGCCTCCGGGCCTGCTGCGGGGGTCACAGCAGCAGAGGCGGAGGGGAAACTCGGCACCGTGGAAAGTAGAACGTCCCCTCGGGGCCGGGGCCGGGAGGGCTTGTAAGTGACAAGGGACCTTAAAGCAATCGTTTCAGCAATTGTTGTAAACTACGTTTAGTCCTTCAGTTCTGTGATGTCCATTTAATTACCTGTACTCGAGCTGTTCCTAAACCTCTGAATAACTTAAGCAAATCAAGAAGTGTCAGGGAGTGCATCACAGAACAGGATAAATCTTTCTCTCACCTTGGGATCAGCGACGTGGTCTCCTTTGAGTTTAGGAACCTTAGTGTGAAGAACTACCAGCTTTCAATCGCACTACAATTGGTTACAGTACAAAGCTGTGGTTATAGTTACAAATTTCCACAGATGGTATACCTGATTACACACTTCCTTCTCTCTCCTGGGTACTTGGGAAGGAGGTAATCACATTTTGAAAGAATGGTGTGTAAATGAAGAACAACAGAGGCCCACGCTGAGTTCTGGAGGCTCACCTTGTGAAATAAATCCATGAATTTTAGTGCCAGCGTTTAAGGACTCCTGTTTTGGCTCTTTCTTTGTTCCTAGTACAATTCTGGAATAGTACTAAGTATAAGGTCTCAATAAATTTGTAATGTTAGAGAATAGACCCTAAACTAAATATATATTTTAATAATTGTGGCAACTTTATAAAGCTGTTATTCTTTTCTACTGGTATTTTAGAGATGAAGACGTAGAGTTGAGCCTGGTAACTAGCACAGAGGCTTGCCTATATTATATGCTCAGAATTAGGCTCCAAGATCGTAACCCCTTCCTTAATTAATAAAGGAATGAAGAATCTGGAGAGGTTAGGTAATTTGCCCAAGTTCACATACATAGGAAATAGCAGATTGAAGGTAAGGATTCATCAGGTCTTGCTTATGGAATTTTTTAGTTCAATTCTCTTTTTTCATTTAGGCTTTAAGTTTTTAAAAAAGATAAAATCTTAATTTGTATAAAATTATGTATGTGTGGGAAAAGATGATTAAAAGGATGGTTTTCAAAATATGATTTTGTATGTTTTTTTCTTCTCTTATACTTTCATATTTTAGAAAAGATATTTTGAGACAAAAACAACTTAAAAAACAAGAAAAAAGGATGTTTCAGGGAGTAAAGACTTAATAAACTGGTTTTGCACATTTGGTCATTTTCAAGTTTACATCCCCAAGAAGGTACATTCATTGCACCTTCTTGTGTGTCTGAGAAAACAACACATATGGGTCTGAACCTTGCTTAGAAGCCCCAGAATCAGATAACCTCATATCCTATGTTAAAGGTTCTGCTTATCAACAACTAGTTCAAAGCAAAAAAAAAAAAAAAAAAATCATAGAATGACTCAGCCTCCGATATTTTACCAGGTTATTACTCCCCAGAAAATAACACTGATTTGTTTTATAAATTTTATTGAAATCAAATTCCTCTGAGCTTGAAATAAATTTTTGAAGGTATTCTTTTTGTAAGTCTGAATTTTGTCTTTCCACTTCTATCATATAGTGAAACTCTCTGGGACATTGCAAAAGCTGAAGTGGAAAAAAGAGGGAGAAATGGAATTGAAGGCGATGGAGTTGAAATTGGAGAAAAATCTGTTTTCTTCATTGGCAGTAAAAATGGGGTAATGCTTTCTTTTGTTTTTACTTTTCTTTTTCAATTATCGTGACAATTTAACCAGTAGTAGAATTTATTTTAATCCTTGGATAAAAATTTGGATACTTCATCTCTTTAACCAGATAACCAATATGATTTAGTGCAAATTAAAAGGTACTTATTATTGATCTAGGAAAAATTGTAATAACAGGCTACGCGCCTGTGGCTCAAGTGACTGAGGCGCCTGCCACATACACCTGAGTTGGTGAATTCGCACCCAGCCCAGGCCTGCCAAACAACAATGAGGGCTGAAACCAAAAAATAGCCAGGTGGTTGTAGCGGGCACCTGTGATCCTAGCTACTTGGGAGGCAGAGGCAGGAGAATTGCTTGAGCCCAGGAGTTGGAGGTTGCTGTGAGTTGTGATGCCTCGGCACTCTACCCAGGGGGACAGCTTGAGGCTCTGTCTCAAAAACAAAAAAAATTGTAATAACAAAATTTTTAAAAATTATTTCAGCTGTAATTTTTTATTTCATAATTTGAAAATATTCAGGTCTTCTATGTCAATCTAGTATAAAAGCTAAATATCTCACTCAGCTTCTCAATAAGACAGTATCTTAACAATCAGTTACTCCATTTTCAGGAATCTCATTAAAGGAATAATCAAACTGTGTTAGTGATGTTTGTTATAGATTATGAACTGTTTTGGAAAATGCAAGGAAAATGTGGCAGCAGTTCCATTAGACCACTGATTGAGAGAAAGAAACCCTTCCCTGCTCACTGCACATTTCTATTGTATTTAGCCAAGCATACAGAAAGGTTTTGAAGTGGCCACAGGGAGCAGAAGCAGATGTATCATATCTTTTTGCAGCTTTGCTTGGCCCTCAAAAGTTCCTGCCAGGGAGGCAGAATTGCTGGTGGACCTGTCTAAAAAAAATTGAAGTTTACCAGATGTAATTAAAGCTTCATGCTGTAATTCATGAAGCATTTGCGATTCATATAACTGTTTAGTTTGTGTGTTTAATGTTTCCATTTAAGGGCATATATACAGCTTTCAGAAATTAAAATGCATCAGTAAGGCTACATTTTCACTGGGCAGTGTTAGGGACCAGGCAACCTGACCACATCTCTTGTCTCCAGCTGTGTCTCAGAAGGCCCTCCCTGCACAGTTGGACACCCACCATTGGGAGGTATTATATACATCATTAAAATTACATTTATTGGGGGAAATAATTTTGTAACCATAAAAGAGTGGTTAGAAATGAAAGAAATAATATAGTAAGTAATAAATAAACAGGACACAGATTTTATATACAATATGACCTCAACTATATAAATGTATAAAGATAAAAGTTAGAAATATGAATAGTAAAAATTTAATAAGAATATGTTTTCATTTTGTTTTTAATTTCTGTATTTTCCAACGTTTTCATATTGGCCCACTATTTTTTTTTTTTTTGAGATAGTTTCACTTTGTCACCCTGGGTAGAGTGCTGTGGCATCATAGCTCACAGTGACCACAAACTCACTCAAGCGAGTGAGCTTGGGCTCAAGCGATTTTCTTGCCTCAGCTTCAAGTAGCTCATACTACAGGCGCCCACCACAATGCCCAGCTTACTCTTGTTCAGGCTGGTCTGGAATCTGTGAGTTTAGGGCAATCCACCCACCTCGGCGTCCCAAGTGCTAGGATTATAGGCATGAGCCACCACACCTGGCCCATATTGGCCCACTTTACTTTCTTTAACCTTTTAAATTAAATTTTCATAGTTTTTGGGCGGCGCCTGTGGCTCAAAGGAATAGGGTGCCGGCCCCACATGCCAGAGGCGATGGGTTCTAAACCCAGTCCTGGCCAAAAACTGCAAAAAAATTCATAGTTTTCATTTATATTTTTAAACTTAACCCAACTATGTAAGTGTTTCATTTCATGAGTTTACTGTTATGAGGAGAGTGATTTTCATATTGGATATAGTATTTTAAAAATTTCTTCTATTTTCTCTTATGGTCATGTGGGTACATACATGGATTTAAATAAATGAGTAAATAATCAAAACTAGTCTTATGATACAAATACATTTTTATTACAAATTATATTCTATAAAAATATTACGCAGATTGGCTTACACCAGTGGTACTGGTTACTGACATCAGCATACAAATGCCCCTGCTAGCATTTTTTACTACTTACTCTCTGGGGCTGTTGTTCTTGACGTCTTTGTAGTTGCTACAGCCTTTTAGTTTTGTTTTGTTGTGTTGGTTGCTTGTGAAACCACCCCTTTTTCTTGATAGCAATATGGGGCATGTACAAGCTTTTTGTTTGTTTTCACTAATGTAAATTAAAACTAATTTTGGTTTTGAGGATTTGGGAACTCCATTAAGATATCTAGAACTTTCTTTTTTCCTTTGTTTTCTTTTTCTTTTTTGTCACCCTGTGTAGAGTGCCGTGGCATTTAGCTCACAGCAATCTCAAACTCTTCAACCTCAATCCTCTTGCCTCAACCTCCTGAGTAACTGGGACTACAGGTGCCCAGTTATTTTTAGAGACAGGTTCTTGCTCTGGCTCAGGCTGGTCTCTTCTTGAACCTGTGAGCTCAGGTAATCCATCCATCTCTGCCTCCCAGAGTATT